AGATGCTGCCCTCTCCTCAAGCTATCAGCCTTTATCTCTCCTCTCTTTATTGGCCAAACTCCTTGAAATAGTTGTCTACACTTGCTTCTTCTACTTCCTGTCCTTTCTTTCACTCCTCAACCCTTTGCATTATGCGTTTTGACCTAGTCACTCATCTGAAAGTGCTCTCTTCAGTTACCAATGATCTCTTAATTGTCAAATGTGACATACTTTTCCCATGCCTAATCCTTCTTGACCTCTCTGCATTTGACACTGCTAACTCCTCTCTCCTGGATACCATTTCCTTTCTGATGTTTTCCTTCCATCTGACCTCTCCTGTCTCCCCTTTCCTGGTCCATTTCATGTTAAGCTCCCTAATTGTGGGTGTCATTCCCCACCATTCTGTTCTGGACTCTCCTTTTCTCACTCAGTGCTCTTGGCAATCTCATAAGTTCCCATGGGTTTAACTATCATCTCTGTGTGGTTGATTCTCCAATCTACATCTCTAGAGTTTCAATCTAGTATCACCAGATGTTCCAAACTGGATGACCCAGAGCCATCTTAAATTCAATATGTCAAAAACCGAGCTCATTATCCTGCATCCTAAACCTTCTCTTCAAACTTCACTATTTCTTTCAAAGGCACCACTGTCCTTCCAGTATCTTAGGTTTGTAATCTCAGCATCATCTCTGATGCCTCACTTTCTCTGACCCCCATATATCCAATTAGTTGCCAAATCTTGCTGTTTCTACCTTCATAACAATTTTGCATCCTACCCCTTCTCTGCACTCAAGTTATGAATTTAGTCCCTTATCACCTGTCACCTAGCTTATTGCAACAGCCTCCTAATTGGGCTCCATTGGTCTACCTAATTGGTCTCCCTTCCTTAGGTTTCTTGCCAGTCCAGTCCATCTTACACACTTCTGCCTCAGTAATTTTCCTTAAGTGCAGATTCAACCATGTAACTCCTCTATTCAACTAGTTTCAGTGGCTTTCTATTGCACCTGAAATGAAACATAAACTCCCATGTTTTGCTTTAAAACTCTTTACCACCTGGCCCCAACTTACCTTTCCAGCCTTATTGGACATTTCTCCCCCTCCCACACTCTTCGATCCAGCCCAAATGTCATTTTCTATGTTCTTCACTCACGATACTGCACCTCTGTGCCTTTTCTCTGATTCTCCTCCACGCTGGAATGCACACCCTACTTATCATTGCCTCATGGAGCCCCCCTCTTCTAATACATAATGAAGCTTTCCTCATCTCCCCACCTGCTAGTGTACTTCCTTCTATCATACCTTGTATTTGACTACTTTGTGTGCATATGTGTATCTAGAAAGGTGCTTTATTAATTTTATATTTGTGCTGTATATATTATTATATGTACTTACTGTTTCCCCAATTAGAATGTAAGCTTATCATGAGTAGAGATTGTTTCATTCTTTGTACTCATCATATCCCCAGCATTTAGAACAGTGCCCAGCACATAGCAAGTACTTAATAATGAAATATTTATTGATTGGCCTCACCATTATTGATCCCCATGTTAGATCAAGAAGTCATCAGGTTTCACTGCCATCCATTACAATAGCTAGATATTTGGTTATGGTCTCAAGACATGGTTCTAAGAAACTTGTTCAAGGTTGTCAGGGACAAGCAAAACTGATATATTGTTCCTCAGTCAAGTAACACAAGCTATTGATCCAAATTTCTTTTTAAATCACTAGGATCCTTTTAAGCCATTCAGGAAGATTTTAGTATGGTCAGTTAAGTCTTCTTGTCCACCATGGTCAATATATGTTCTAGTTACTGTTGTGAGCTACCCACCAAAGTTAAGGGAGGGGTGTGGGGGGGGCCACGCCAGATTATGCAGGCTGAGGGATGCCGAATAACTCCTTGTTGGTGTCATCTACTTGTATATCTCAGAGCTGAGAAGTCCAAGATGGGGGGGGTGGTGGTGACAGTATGATGAATGGGGCTTATATATCTAGCTATCCAGTCTTTACTCTCTTCATTAGGTGATTCAGCCCTTGGGGGTGGGCTGTGTAGGTCCTTTCCCTCAAAACCTCAAAAGAAAGGGTCAATTGGATTGACACCACCACTAAGCAGATCTATGCAGAATAAAATAGTAGAGGGAAAAATAGTCCTAGAGTCACCCTCGGGGCACCACTACTAAGCAGATCTATGCAGAATAAAATAGTAGAGGGAAGAATAGTATAAGAGTCACCCTCGGGGAAATAGAATTGGATGTGGGTTCAGAAAGAGGATCTGGACTCCACTCCTGGCTTCACAGCTTCCTAGCTGTGTTGCCTCTGGGAATTTATCCTCTCCCTAAGTTTCAGTTTCATCATTTGCAAAATGTGGATAATGATGTCTGCCTTGCACACATCATTTAGTTATGAGAATGTCATCTATTATGATTTATGATGTTGTGGCAGGTTACTTAGCAGGTATGTTGTCAAGGACATTTGTGGTCATCAGTGGGTTGGATTAGATGACTTCTGATGTCTCTTTCAACTCTGAAACACTGTGATTCTGTGTAATGTGAATTGATTAAACATGCAGTGTGGACGCTCCAAACATCCAGGTGTTTGAGACACAACTGTGACACAATATGTTGAGTACAGGTGTTGCTTGTATTAGTTGTGTTTAGAACAGGTGGTAAAGATTTTTCATGGGAGTAACCTGGTGGCTCTGATAAGCTATGGAGGAGAGAGGACTGCCTTCAATACTACAGTGACTAGGTAAGAATCCCAGACTTAGGCTGCCAGCATTGTCAGGGCAGTAGGAGGCGGGGATGGGGGAAAGGGAGGAAGTATTGCTTTAAGCACTGCCATGTGTCTCCTATTAATGCTCATTGAGAACTAGAGACAGCTCAGAAAACTTCCATTGTAGATTCAGTACCCGACAGTTCTGCCAGAGGCAACCCATGGCATAGTGGATTTCATGCAGGGTTTAGTAGCTAGAAGATCTGGGTTCATATCCTTCCTCTGACTCTTACTAGTTATGTGACCCTGGGCAAGTCACCTAACTTCTTAGTTCAGGTAACTCTCTAGGACTTAGCTACTGATTCATTAAAAAGTTGTCATCTGTGTTGAAGGTGGGAGTTCCCACACCAGGGTGCTGCCATACAGATGAATCATAGCTCCTTTCCAAATTCATGTAATTTTCTTACTGTCTTTTAGGTTTTTTTTAATGGTATGATCTTTAATATTAAAGTTATGTATCCATTTAGTATGGATTATGTAATATGGTGTGAGGTATTGGTCTAAGCCTATTTTTTGTTAGCTTTCCTGTTGAGGTTTAGGGGTGCTGGGACCCCAAGATCACAATATGTGGGTCCTTCCGAAAAGAATTCGACCCAAACCTTCTTTCAGCCAAAAACAAGGTTTGTTAAAGATCCGCCATATTAGCCAGACTCTTAAGGAATCTGAGCACCTGTGAGCTATTGGCTAGATTGTAAAAACCTGAGCAGTGGCTAGATTATAAGAATCAGAGCATGTGTCTAGATTGTAAGAATCTGAGCACCTTAATGGAGACAAGATGGATCTTTATATACAGAAAGACTGTGGGAGAAATCTAGGAGTGGTCAAGTAATCTGGAGAGGGGGGTAGGGTACAAGGAAGTAGGGAGGACTGTGAGGTAATAGAATGCCAGGGACCTGGACCAAGTGGCCTAGGGAGAATGGAGCCTGACTAGGATTAAGGGTGGGCAATGGGGGTCATAGAGAGGTAAAACAATGGAGAGCCAGGCTAAATTAAGGGTAACAGAGATTGGGCGTAGCCACAGTGAAAGATCACTTGATGAAATTATAGCCTCAGACAAATGCCAGAGATTTGGCCATGTGGGAAAGTCCACGGTTTTTCTTTTTTGGGGCCTCACTCCCATCCTCATAATTCCCATCAGTTTTTATCAAATAGAGTTCTTTCCTAGACAATTTTATGTTTTCCACTTTATCAAAAACTGGATTATTGAGTTTCATTGTTTTTGATTCTCCCTTGTCTAGTCTGTTCCATTGACCTACCTCTATATTTTTTGACCAGTACCAGATTGTTTTGATGAATTCACCTTTACAAATAAAATTTGAGGTCTAGAAGTGCTATTTCCCCTTTGTCTCTATCTCTTTTCATCATTTCCCTTGATATTCTAGATCTTTTGTTTTTCCAATGAATTTTGTTATTTTATCAAGTTCTATACAGTATCTACTTGGTAATTTGATTGGTATAGCATTAAAAATATGTGTTATCTTGGGCAGTATTGTCATTTAAAAATTATATTGGCATAGGTCAGCCATGAGCAATGAATATTCTTCTATTGTTACTGTTACTACTTTATCTTACATCTGTATAGTTATTAACAGTTTACAAAGTGCTTTCACAAGCCATATCTATTTTAATCTTAATCAAAATTTCTGTGGTGTGTTATCTCCATTTTTACAAATGAGGAAACTGAGGTCCAATGAACTTATATAACTTGTCCAACTAAGTGGCAGAATCAGAGTGAGAGCCTGTTATTCTTATTATAAGTTTTATTTATGTTATTTAATTTTAATCATAAGGACCATTATTGTAAGAGTTTATTGTTTGTGTAGTTTTTACATAGCTACAGAGTGCTTTCCTCATAGCTAACTTGTGAGATAGGGTAGGTCACGGCAGTTTTTCTAAGAAAACTTGTGATGTCTAGTGAATTCACACACATACCGGGTTTTTTTTCCCCCTCTTATTGTGAAGACTTTGGTCCAAGGGGAAACCAAGATGCAATAAAAAGAACACCTTTTTTTTTTTACTTTGTTGAAAAGTGCAAGTCATGTTGCCTAGGAAATAAATAGTCCAGTAACAAGCTAGTAAAAGAAAAAGCTGTATTTCATTCAGGGAAACTCTAGTAATTCAGTAATAGAAGAAAGTGGATTATTTCCCCCTGCCTCTAGGCAAGGTTTCTAGGAGTTGTGATTGTGCACAAGGCTAAGAGGAAATCACCTTTAGCTTTGGGAGTTAATTATGTGTAGGGTTTGTGCTCACTCTCCTTGTGCCTCTGGAGTCTTTGAAAGGTCGGTGCTGAGTGAGTATATGGGCCGTGTGCAAAGATTAGTGAATGTAGGTAGTGTAATGAGTGAAAAGAAGCCAATAAGTAGGCAGAGTTAAGAGAGAATGAGCATATATAGAGGAGCGTAAATATAGACGGGGAAGGCGCCTGGGGCCGTTGAAACAGAACACTTCACTCTAGACAGGGGGCAGAGAGAGGCTGAGGAGGTACTGAAGTACATAGAGTTAGATGGCTTTGTAGAAAATCATTCTATACAGACAGTGGCTTTTTAGCTAGACGAGATATTTTTTGGGGAAAAAAGAAAGCAATTTCTTCTAACATGACCAAACTAGGCTGGCAGAAGTAAATCCGACTTTTGTAAATTTTGGAGTGAGCAAGAAACATCTATGGAGAGAGTTGGGAATGAGATGAAGGGGAGACTGCTGGACCATTCCTCCTTGGCAACTTTAAATGATCCAGATGTCACCCTGCTCTCAGTTCACAAGCGACCATCCTTCAAGAACATCCCTTGTTTAGGCAGCTGTTCCAAGCCAGTGCCACCTGAGGATCACGGTTGTGTTCTACCAAAGGTGAAGGCATTGGCTCCGGGAATTCTGAATGGAATGCCAGAGACCAACTCCACTCAGGTCAGTGGGCTTTTCAAGGGGGCTGCTCTCAGACAGCTGCTGAAACAAGTGTATATTTTGATACCCCATATGTTGTGTGTATAAATAAGGAGAGAGATCCTTAGAATGCGTGCGCACATGCATTTAGAACTATGAGGTGGTGGGAGGTTTGTCTTTTTTTTTTCTCAGCATTATTGCTTTATCAAGGTAACAGCTTTTGTCTTCTTCTGGTGAATTTTGGCAAAACACTTTGGAAGCCTCTAGCAGTGGTTCTAAAGTGTAAAACCTGTGCATTGGTCCAAAATACAAAGTCTCTGAAATGAAGTTGTTTTTTTTTCCTTTTCTCATGTAGATTTAAATTTTAGCTTTAAACCTACATTTAAAGACAAGGTAGATGATTTGAAAACATAGCAAAAACAATTTTTTTACTTAATTTATTGCTTGAAGTTTTGTTGTGTTTATGAGCCAGTAAGGTAAGTATTTTGCATAAGATCTTTTGTCCCAGGAAAAGTACTTTAAAAAAAATGAGAACTGTTCTTAAAGGCTTTCCACCTATGGGTACAAAATAGCATTGGCTTAATTCTTATGTGGCCTTTATGATTATTTTTGCTATTACTGTTAATAATTGTTTAGAAGCACTAAAGGTTAAGGTGAATTTTATGCCTAGGGCTTCTTGGAGTGGGCTGTAAGACATTTAATTCAGTTGAATAAATATTCAACTGCCACGTTTCAACCTTTTGGGTTAAAGGCAGAAAAAATGTTTTTCTATATTCTGGTATGTTTTGCCAGCATTTGATTGTAAAGCAATTAAAAATATTCTTTAGAGGGCTAAGCTGATAGAAAAATTAATGTTGCATTACAAGAGACTTCGAAGGCAAATTTGATAGACACCCCACTGTGGAGTTATAGTTGCTGACGGTTTAGTAGTTTATTGCCAGAGCTGGGGTTAGAACAGGCCTTGTTGATAAGGGAATGGAAGAATCAATCTTGTTCTTCTTATAACCAGTGGAAAAAATGGTCTTGATGATTATGTAGCTGCTATATTCATCACCCATGGGATAAATTCTTGATCTCCCAGTCGTGGTTGCCATTTTCTTCTCTTGGATTTTTTTCAGGGTGTATGTAGTGGCATGGATTTTCAGAGTAAATTGCCTTAATTTAGGAGTTAAACTGATATGTGGCAGTTGTTTGAAATCCTAAAGGGACAAGTTAAGTTATTTAAGTTGGTGTTCCCTTCCTTGAAAGTTTTTGAAGCAGGACACTTCTAGGGCTTGAGGACTGTTTTTTTTTTTTAAGTGATATCAGAAAATAAAGATTTTGGAGGTTTAGGGAGGAAGAGTATTCCACCTTCACAGTTATAATCTGGAACTCAATGGGAGCTAACAAGCTCCTCAGCAAATGTGATTTCAGTTAAAATAATCAGAATAGCATTTTACAGGGACCAGTGTGGATTCCTGAAGTTTTTGTTTGAGAAACAGGAACTATCAGTAGTTTTATGGTCACTCACTTATTAAAGAAGGAAGCAGTTTAGGAAGTGGTTAAAACATAGCTGTGTCTCGACAAAAAGATAGTCCTAGAGAGAGCCCACTGTATTTCAGCGAAATAACTCTTTGTAATAGATTTTCCAGTTGTGTAATTCACTTGATACTATCTGTATTGTCTGGGTATAATAGTCCTCCTCACAGGTTAATTAGTTTAGAATTGAAATTAGTAATCCTTCATTAAGGAGATGAACTGGTTAGAAGTAACTAGTTTAAGTGATATGAAAACAGCAGAAATTTAAACTCAAAGTGATGCAAAGAATACTCATATATAAGATCTATCTGTCTTTCCATTTATACATCATTTATATCTCCCTGAGGACCACTTTGTTTTTCCATCTGACTCATACCCAAAACGTCTTGTATATTTCATTTCTCTGTTAGAATGTAAACTCTTCTAAAGCAGTTGTACTTTCCTCTTTGTATCCCCAGTGCTTGGTATACATAGTGCTTTACATAAAGTAATTACTTGCTCAATAAATGCTTTTTGAAATTCATTCTTTCATATACATATATGGACATATAGATCTATAATACCTTACGCAGTTTAAGATGTGGCTCAAACACCACCTTCTTCATGAAATCTTTCCTGATTTCCAACTGCTAGTGCCCTCCCTCCCTAATTACTTTGCATTTATTTTGTATTTATTACATATAATATTTTACATATACATATGTATATGCACATGTTATCTCTCCTAATAACATGAAACCTCCTTGAGAACAAATATTGCTTCATTTTTTTGCCTTTGAATCCTCAATGCTTAACACAATATGTGGCATATAGTAAGAGCTTAATAAATGCTTATTGATTGATTCAAACTGAGCAACCAAATACCTACATAAGTAAACCTTGGCCGTTTTGCGAGACCACAGTAACACTCAATAAATATGTTGGATTTAGTCATGTTCTAATGATCTCTGAGTACACCAGAACTACTAATTTCTCACTCACATGGATGGGCAATTTACTTTCACAGAGTACTTTTAGTTAAAACAGGATCATGTTCCAAATGAAGCCTGATTCTAAAATGATTAAGGTTACCATGTACTTGTATTTTTTTTTAACATTGCCCCTATCAATGTAGAATAAAATCATAACAGTAAAATGTAGGTTTCTTCAGCTCCTAAAAGCTTTTTGAGAAATAAAAGAGATAGCAAAGAAAAGATGGAACTGAATCATAGTGGGAAAGATATATTTAAATTAGAAACAAAAAGGGACTTCTTGATTGCAAGGGTTGTTAATTTGCTATCTTCTGTTTCTTGAGATTTATAAAAATGAGGTAGAGAGTTCTCAAGGGTGGTTAACTTGGGTTCTGCCTAGATGAACTCATGATGACCTTCTGAATCCCCAGTCAATTGTTTCCCACTTGAAATAAGTCTGATATGTAAAAACCCAACTCTATAGCTATTATCAGGCTTTTTGCAAAATAATTTTGTGATTTAAGAAGGAATTCTATGATCACTCCTTTAAATAGTGATCCCCTGTTATATAGTTTGATACAAAGAAAGTTGATACACACCTATTCAGGAATATATCTATTACATTAATTGAATTGTAACTGGGTCTGTGCTAAGAACAGTGCGGCCATTACAGCAAAATTCATGTAAATGTATAATGAAGGTAAAGATTAATTTGTTCCATCAGACCTAAGACATTTGTATGCCATCTGAATTCATCAGCACTGTATGAAAAATTAAAAGTCTGGGCATACCAACTATTTTTCTATAATATAAACATTTGAAGAAGCTTAGTGTAATCCATACTGTTAGAAAAATCTGAAACAAAAATCTACTACAGGAGTGAGTGAAGGGAAAGCCTTTATTAACGCTTCTTTTGAGAAACGGCCACACTACACCCTAGTAGCAGGTGGCACTGGTACAGTGGTAGAATCAATTTTTAAATGGTTAGTAAGATCCATTCTCCTCCCATCTGAGCCTGGGATTGGACCAGCTCATCTGAGTTATACTTTTCCTAAACCGCCAATCCCATGTTTCTCCATGTTCTTCCTTGTCATGTTAGTTCACGCGTACCATGTTCAAAAATGGCGGCTATCTCCACCCGCGGGGTATATCAGTTAATATTCAATACGCTTGTTAAGCAAGCCTAGTGGAGAAAAGCCTTCGGCCTGTCGTTGACCAGGTTGCAACCAGTTTAGCCTCCAAGGCTCTGTCTTAAGGAACTAGTTGTTTGCAGAATGTTTGGGGCACTTTCTGATTGGTTGAGAGACTATCCACAAGATCTTGGAAGTCCTTCTCAGAATTCCCTTGTTCTGTTGTGGAAGCCTAACACCTAATCCTTACCCACACATACTTAATTAAACTCTAGAAAACCACCTGGATTCCTTAGCCTTAGTAGCTCTACTGTACTATGGGGTCTTCTCTTGATTCTAGGAAATGATGCAAGAGAGTTATGGTCTTACTGATTTGACTTAGAGCATTTCATTAGAATATCAAAAAACCAAACCAAACCAACCCACTCTTAGAGATCGGCTGTTTGACTGATAGTGCAGAATTAGCCTTTGACCTTGCCTTGCCTCCCTGGATCTCGTATAGAATATTATCAGAGGGATGACACTGCTGTAGCTCATGAGGTACCGTTATTTGATAAATCACCAAATGAAATATTTGCTGCAGTAGACAAAAGTTAGGTAACAATGCAATTCTCTGAAATGTTAAGAAGTTGAACTGTATGTTATTTGATTGTCTGCTGAGAAAGCTGTTAAGATAACTGTTGTGAAGAATGTTAACTCTTAAATTAGGGGTCTGCATCCTGAATTTGTGTTGTTGAAGGAAAAAAAATCACTATTAATACTATACTCTGTGTATTAGGCACAAGTCTACCAGAAACATTTTAATTTATCATTATTTTAAAATGAAGAATTTCTAACTTAGAGAAATATCCAAACTGACATAGTCTCCTTATGCTCTTGGCATCTCTTTCTCCAAGACATTATGAGATAAAATTTTTGGAAGCTTGAACGAGGAAAATGGCACAAAATAATGGAATGTGGTTTGTGGCTAGCATTCTACTTCATCTCACAATAACAGTCACTTAATCTTTTGGTGAAGGCATTGGAGAACCATACTCCTAAAATTATGCATCTGCCTCTGACCACTTTTTTCCATGGCTCCCCGTGACCCATCACAGGTGACACGAAAGAATCAACAGGATTGCCTCCTTCTGATCAGTAATCCTAATCATTTCGTGAGATGTTCAAAGAAGGGACTGTTGCATGGGTCAGTAGTCCAATCATTTCAGAAGGTGAGAAAGACAATAACTAGACAAGAGTTAAATTTGGTTGCCACCTCACTCCTAGAATCTTAACCTTTATTCTTGACTGTTTACACATTTTTCTAAAGGGAAAAGTCTAGAAATGATTTTTAGACTAGACAATGTTATTTCTTAATATTTCAGTTGAACTAAAAAGGAGCTTTTGAATCTGCTGTCACAGTATGTTCCTAAATTCTTTTGCTTTT